AGCCATGTGAGGGAAGTGCAATTGACTCTGTGACTTCTCTAACAGTAACCAACTTTTATGACTTACAGGATTTGATCCACATTGGACATCCCTTGGGTGACTCCTGGTATACCGAAATGTACCGAAATGTACCTCACATCAGCACATCAGCTATCGAAATCATCCTCATCCTCCGGCTGCACCGAAGGTCTCCTTCCGGCTGCACCTGGGCAACAAGAGTCTGCCAGAGAGCTCAGACTGGATGGGAGCGGTGGTCTCCGTCGCTCCCGTCCCCCCGGTGTGGGACGACTGTCCGGTGGGTGTCGGGCCCTTGGGCCGGACGCCGGACCTGGTTGGCCCATTGGAGAGGTCTCTAAGGATCTGAGCTGCAAATGCTGGCACCAAAGGCACAGAGTTTATTTGAGAGTTTATTGGATTTGATGTTCTGGCACTGAGAGGTAGAGAGGTCCTGAAACTCCACAGAATGCTTTACCGCTTTCAGGTGACAGGCCATGGAATCCTGATATATAACTTGGGCTGTCATTCCAATTGAAAGAAGACGTGCAAAAACAAGACTTTGGGATCACCATGTTGATAAAGTGCTTTAGTGTCATAGTCTTAGTGTTGATACATGTTCAAGCACCAATTTAAATTTGCATACCTTTTTGATCACACTCTTTGTGTTGCCCCACTTCTCTTGAATAACATCTATAAAACCATGGGATCGAGAATGACCAGCTATTGCTTGAATCTTTTTCACGGCTCGACACAAAGAGATGAACATTCATCATCATTCACTAACTTGGTAGACTGCAAGTCATGGAAAATCACGGCAATTAATTCATGGAGAATCATTCCACTTATTGGATAGAAACGCAGGAACATCATGACTATATGCTAGTTCTGGTACCAGCACATTCAGATTCCTGTAGAAAGTCAAAATACATAGAGTTTGGCGTAGGATTCGGTAGGATTGAGGAAGCTCCACTCCAAGACCCCACTGGTAAAATATTTGCAGAGACGAAATGGGTATGGACTGATCAAGCAAATTAGGTCAAGTTTTATAGTCACGTTGTCCAATACTAGACGATGGTAATGCTTTGCTTTTACTCTTTCTTTTTTTTGGCTGCTTGCTTCTTGGGGTTCAACGAAATAAACTCCTAACCTGAATATCCCAGCACTTCTATGTCAGGGTGATTTCATATCCCCAGTGATTGGACCAGATCTTCCAAACCCTCCTTCGGTCTCCTCCCCTTCCCCTCCAAACCCTCCTTCCCCCGACCGACCCCTCTCTCCGCAACGCCGCCATGGGCGACACCACAGTGCCCGGCTTTCCGCCTGAGCCGGCGGAGCCCTGGGCGCTCCTGCGAGCGTTCGGGGGGGTCGGCGATCACCGATGGAGAAGAACGAGTTCATATTAAACTATATAGATTATATAGTACAGTAGTTATTTAATTAAATATATATACATGTAATATTCATAGTGTATGACAGTGTATGGTCATAATGAATAGCATATTAATGCATATTATATATAGATACACCTGGCTGGAAGCCCCTTACACTGCTTAGGGATCTCCATCCATCATTGGATCGTATATTATGTATACATCTATAAACGATAAAACTATGAAACCCAAAGTCTTGAACCGACCCAAGGTTGGTTGTACAGAGACCCCACTGTTTCGGATGCACTTGGGAATGTTTGGTGGCTTTGCCTTGGGGTCACTACATGCATTTTGCTTTGCTCGTGAAGTTGCTTCGCACTTCACTCCCGGGCAATGTCGGTGGCGAACGGACGCGAACGTTGCCAGCGTGCCTCTCAAGGTGCTGTTATGCCCCATCACCCAAGTGATGTTCCGTGACCCCGTCTTCATCCCTGAGAGCGGCAACACCTACGAGCGCTCCGCCATCGAGACGTACTGGTCGGGGCGACCGAAGTGCCCCCGAGATCCATTGACCAATGTGTCATTGTCCGGCACCCTGCAGCTGGGCAGACGACGACGTGGGACGAAAGGGTAGCAGCTGCGTCTTTCTTACACATTTGGGTGTCTATAGCAGCTACGTGCTTCTCGACCGATTCATGTTTTTAATATTGTTTAATTTAAAGATCTTTAAATATATTTAAGATACATACCCTGCTTTGCCACCCACCCGCCCACCGCAAGAAAGATTTGCACTTCTGAAGACCAGTTTGCTTTGCACTTCACACTCTCCGGTGCTTCCCCGCGACGAACTGGGAAGCCTTGAAGCCTGAGGTATACGAACTGGGGCCTTCGGCGGGAGGTGCAGAGCTTTCTGGATGAACATCCCAGCTATGTGCCGCAGGGCTGGGAGGTGCGACCCATCCCCTCTGGAACACGACTGTGGTATATATGTATATGGTACCCGAATACCTGCCACTCTGGAGTGTTTGGGATGTAGGTAGGGTGTGTCTCAGTAGGGTGGAGATCCCGAAGAGTGGTGGGCGTCCGGGTCGGACCCGGGTCGGGCCTGGGAGACCTGGGAACTGGGAACTGAAGGTGTTTATGTTTAAATAACACCCCGTGACCGTGATACAATTCACGACACACCTTGGGATACACCTGTGATGGACTCATGATACACACCCATGACACACCCATGATAAAACCCATGATAAAACCCATGACACGTGTGTCCTCCCAGTTGTTTGGGAGCTCCCAATCAATCCCAATCACACACCAGGTCCGCTGCAAGTTGCACCACTGACTCCACTTCTTCTCCCGGCAGGATCGCTCCGTGCCGGTGCCTGCACAGCTTCCGAGCTCCTCCAACCAGCCACGCAGATGGAAACGACGCTCGACCGGCGAGTGGTTGCGCACCATGGGCGGGTGCGAGGTGGGCAGCAAGTGGAGGAACATATTATCCCCATCAATTAACGTGCTAGATGGATGCATCGAGAATTTGTGTTTCACCCAAATTTTGGAGGTAGGCCAGCAAGATGACATATGTTCATCCCCCCTGAAGGATGACATGCAAGTTGTCAAGACTGACATGACGTCGAGTTTTTGGAGGGAGCAGAGAGCACAGAGTAGGTGAAGCCTCTCTCTCCGACACAGGATTAGTCTTCTGGCTCCTGAGCTTTTGCTTCTCGATGGCTGTGGTCATTGCCCCTTGGAAGCGAAACGGCATGGGGGCTCGTCGTTTTATTGCAATGTGGAGGACACCTGCGTGGAGCTCCGCTAAGGTTCCTGACACGGGGCCGACAGATGGGGACAATTTGTTTTATATCTTTGTTTGTTTATCATGCTTTTTCAACACATCTCAGACTAAGACAAATGAACTATGTTGTTAATTCTAAAAGCGCTCAGCTTTTGCATAGGAGGCAGGGTATTGATATGTCTAGATTATTTAAGTGAATGCGTCCAACGAGTATGTTGCACTTGTTTGAATGCTGCCAACAGCTACTGTACATGTAGAACTTGATATTGATTCCACTTTGTGTGAGACCCTGAGGGTAAGAAATCAACTGATGCTGAACATGCTGCACAAGTCACAAGTAGAACTGATTGGGGCACACTTAAATCAGGGCTCGCAAGTAGACTCGCTTGCGGAGAAATCTAGTTCCCTGCGACCAACCAGACCAGTGTGGCCTGGAAGATGCACTTTCTGTGCAAACAGCTTCTTCAACTTCCCAACATGGTTCTCAAAAAAACAACCAACCAACCGTCTCCGAAAGCTTCGCTGGTCGCGTCCGGTCGGGCTCGGCCACGTACTTTGCATGGCTGGGCGGCTGCGATGTCTTGGACACGGACCTGGCTTAAGACATGTAAGACACGGACCTAGGCTCCAAATATGTCTTAACCCACGGGCCTGGCTCCTTAGTACCTGGGTTAAGACATGTTAAGACATATTTGGGCTCCAGGGGCAAGATGGTGTATCTGGGAGATATCTGGGAATGCTTGACGGTCAGTAGTCCTGTACACCCCAGATCTATCTTGGGAAAACCAACCGTTTTTGAATCACTGACCGTCTCGACGTGTGAGGAACACTTCAAGTCGGAGAGTGCTTTCTATTGGCCTCAGCTCGAGACGGAGGACACCGCGGATGCCCAGAAGACGTGAGGGGGGGGGCAGTCTCAGACGGGCCCTGGATACCAGGTGAGAATGATGGGAATACAGGAATACACATGGAAACCGCATAGTATGAACAGCTACAGTCTACAAGTTTGCAATGAGACCTTCAAACATTGAGTCATTGATTGGTCTCACATCATTGGCTCACAGAATTTCCCCAAGCTTCAAAGATTTGAGACGGTGAGACCTTCACCATTGATGGGTCAGGGTATCCCCATTTGTTTCTCGGTATATATAATAGATGATAATAGATACAAATATATTATCCCGTGGAGTCAGGTATTGCATATACAAACCAATACAAAGCCCTCCCGAAAGAGAAACATATCTTCAGTCTTGAGATACTTTTTGGGGGTCAGGGTATTCTGTGGTATCTCCGACTCGACGATGAACGGAGAGAAACCACGAGGGGGTGAGATGGGTCAAAGAGATCACAAAACTGCAAAGCAAACCGTTTTAAAAGGGATCAATGGTCGGGATGGAGTAGATGGCTCCACCACATGTAGAAAAGGACGGTGTATATATATATAGATATACAGTACAGTATATATATATGCTGTTTTAGCATGCCACGTGTTTAGGTCAATGTGTTTTCCCCTCGCAGTAAAACCACCTCTTCAACTTGCAGTAAAAAGCCTGTGGTTCCAGGCACAAACATGTTGCCCATCGCCACCACTATGGGTTCGTCAAGCTGCTCCTGAATTCACCTAGTACCTGTCAATGGGTGATGGAATGAACTTAAGTATATACAATATATGCCCTGGGACCCTGGGAGTCAGTCCAAGACCATATTTCAATCGATCTTTTGATGATCCAAAGGAAGTTCCTCTACTTCTATGCTGACAAACATAGTCTTTGGACTTCTAGGGTATACAATGCATTTGTATTTTTACATATATTATTACATGGCCCATCTCATCTGAGGACGTGTCGTATTTGAAGGTGCCAAAGAACTCTCGGCTCGAAGCCTATCAGGCATGGAACGCTACGACACTAGAGACAGTTTCTCATGCCGGGATTCCTCTGAACCCCGAGACAAAAGCTGCCGGAGAGAAAAGTTTGGTTTGCATTACATGTTTCCTGTGGATCCACTGCCACCTTCTCAGAAGGTATTTGGACCCTCCAAGCCTAGAGAACAGTGTCTCCAATCACCTTCTCAGAAGGTATGTGGATCCACAGGGATGATTTTGTAGTTTGCAGCTGGAGGACTATACCGACTATACCTCGCTACAGGTGTGTCCAGGGATTTTTAGTATTGTAGGCTTAGGATTCAACCTGCGACAAGGCTCGGTGGGTCTCCTGGTTTTGGATTCAACGCAAGGGTTCAGAGTACACCAAGAGTCACAAGACAGGGTGCTTTTGAGTCCCATCCAGTGTTAGGCACCCCGTCTTGTGACTGCTGGTACCTACCTCTTTTTCTATGACTTGTTGTTTGACTGGACTGGGACTTGTGCATAACACCACTTCCGAACAAATACACTCCAAAATGTGTGAAATGTGGAACCCGCACATGCAATACCGGAAGACGCGCTTCCCATACGAGCCAAATTGGATGAACATACTACTTGTACCTTTCATCACAAAATGTTTGCACCTCCTAACAACGCCGACCACATGATACCACTCTCCATGCCAATATTAGGGATATGACAGTTTGGATAATGACAAGCAAATTGAACTTGGCGCGAAGGATGTCCTCGAAACATGACATTGTCATTGCATCCCCCATGATTGTGGGCTTATAAAATGCAGATCCTTTTCCTTTACAAAATGCAAACTCCAAGACACAGTTTATAAACATTAGGTTTTTTTAAAGGATAACTACATAAGATCTGGAGTATCGTCATTTTATAAACTTTACTAACTTGGACACTGAATGACAGTAATAGAGGGCAGGTGAACCCCGTAATCTCATTTTATAAACATTCACTTGTCGAGTTGTCAGAGGATGGTTAGAACATGATTTATCATTTTATAAAGATCATGTTCTGGACTGTCTAAAAAGGTATTGATTTTTCATATGTTTCTTAAACAAAAATCAGAAATGCCCTCAAAACTTTTCAAAACTGAAGGAAAGACAGGAACTGAAGGAATAACTAAGAATTAAAAATTAACTAGCTACTTTTTCTACACTTTTTTCTCCTCTCCCCCTGTCTCTGTGTCTATTTCCTTTACGGGGGAGGTACCGAGAGGCGACCGTCTCCAAACATCGGTCAAAGGCCTGGCTTCGGAAGGACCGTCTGTCTCTAAGGTCGGACCGACGTCCCGCGTTGCCCAGTCTCCCCCCGTCGATCCGAAGCCTCTCGGTACCTCCCCCGTAAAGGAAATAGACACAGAGACAGGGGGGAGAGGAGAAAAAGTGTAGAAAAAGTAGCTATATAGTTAATTTTTAATTCTTAGTTATTTTCCTGGTAGTTCCTGTCTTTCCTTCAGTTTTGAAGAGTTTTGAAAAGTGGGTTCAAATTTAGTTGTTGATCATTGAAAATTTAAATGTTCAGAATCTTGAGATCTTGACATGACGAATTTTCATTTTATAAAGTATCCGGATTTCCGATGAGCAATTCGCATTTTATGAAGTGTTTCTTCCTGGATGCCGATTTCTATCTTAACCTATCACAACCTGTGCTGGTCATTTTATAAACTATATAGTTGGTTTTTTATGTTATAAACAAACACCTATCCCACACACTGTATACACCCACAAAGTTTATAAAATGCAAAATCAGCGCGCCTATGAACAATCACGGGGGATGTCATTGCTGAACAAGATTTTCAGATCATTAGCATGCAAGTGAAGAACTGAAGTTATTCTGTCATAGCACAGAATAAGATCTGACAAGTTATTCTGTCTTGAAGATCCTATCCTTGTGGTGATTAGCATAGCCTTGTCTTCATAGCCTTGGAACGTTCGGACCACACCTTGGAACGTTCTACATGGATCTTTGCAGCTTTCCAGGTGGCCGGCCGCCTGGTGATCAAAGTGCCAGCACCAGGATTCCAGGTGAGGCGTTGTTAAACAGCCACCAATCGGAGGGTAGCGAGGAACCTACTTGGCCAGGTGGTGTTTGATGGTGTTTGCATGTTTTGTTTTTTTCAGTCGCAGCTTCTTGGGTCCTTGCAGTGTCAGTCAGATCCAAACCTCCGAACAAGAAACGAGAGCGGCCCAGACCCACCTGACTCCCATCCTCCGCGGCTTGGCTTCCGCTGGCATGTGGCTGGCTCTTGGGCACCCCACTTGGTGAGGAGACTCTCCGAACTCAACGCCTTGGGCGGAGATTGGCTGACCTGGTTCCCCAAACTGGCCCCAATATATAGGAGATATGTTTCCACAAAAACATCCATGTCTTCCTATGCTGTTTTGGACCTTTGGCCCACCATTGGAGCTTCAGAAACACCGCCATTGCATGATATTGCATGTGTACCACTCACTGCATGGCCGGATTTCGTCGCGATGGTCGTATTGGTCATGAGGATGTGCTGAGCCTCCGCCAGGCCAGTGTGATTTGTCCCCTGATCTTCTCAGTGCTGTGGCTGAGCTTTGCAGCTCGGCTCGAAGCTCGGATGGCTCGAAGCTCGTCGAGATGTAGCCAGGACTACCCAGGACTACCCTACTTATATATTATGATCCGGACACCCAGACAGGATGCGGTAGGTGTGTGTGTGTGTGTGTGTGTCACACCCTGGTTCTAAGGGTTTCCACCTGTTTTACCTTTCCACCACCACCGAGACTTTCTATCAAAGGCAGGGAGACACGGCACCAGATTGCAGACCGTGTCTAACAAAGCTATGCAATCTGGTGGGATATCCAGCTTGGCCAGCTGGACGTACCTGCTCGTTCTTCACAAGCTGTAACCCTACTTTTCCACGATTTGATTCATGGTTCTTCATGATACTCCCCATAAACCTTTCCACTTTCTCACGCAGCAGACTTGTACAGAGGCTCGCCACTGCACACCTGTCGAAACATTGTTCAACCATACGGTTTTTGCGGACTTATGCGCCTTTCCGTTCCCTCACCTTCCTTCCCATCGTGACAACTGAATATAACTGAAAACCCAAGTTCGAAGTGTGGACCGCTCAGTCTTCCCACGTGGGTGCTGGGTGTGACCCTCCGAAAGGAGGTGCTGAAGCCATGCAGGAATTCACAGTTCGCCACTTCCATAACTGACTCCACGGTTTCCATTTTATCCCTGAATTTCCTGATTTTCGAGCCGCCGGGCTATAAACGATGGATTTCCCACCAAAATCTCTGAACTCCTTCGGTATTGCCAAGTCATGATATCAGGTTTGTGCATTTTGCGTTTTCCCAGCTTTCACAAAAGATTTTTAATCCGCAGCCGTTTGATCAGCTTCCACATGCTCCACACCACTCCACAGACCGCAGGAATTGCATTGCATGCCACGAGTTCACCTTACTTCACTGCAGATGCATTCAGGCTCCATACTTCACCATGAGAAAAAGACTCACGGTTTCCACCGCTCGCTCTGTGCGCCGATCACGGCGTGTTGTGTGTGTCACACCCTGGTTCTAAGGGTTTCCACCTGCTTTACCTTTCCACCACCACCGAGACTTTCTATCAAAGGCAGGGGGACACGGCACCAGATTGCAGACCGTGTCTAACAAAGCTATGCAATCTGGTGGGATATCCAGCTTGGCCAGCTGGACGTACCTGCTCGTTCTTCACAAGCTGTAACCCTACTTTTCCACGATTTGATTCATGGTTCTTCATGATACTCCCCATAAACCTTTCCACTTTCTCACGCAGCAGACTTGTACAGAGGCTCGCCACTGCACACCTGTCGAAACATTGTTCAACCATACGGTTTTTGCGGACTTATGCGCCTTTCCGTTCCCTCACCTTCCTTCCCATCGTGACAACTGAATATAACTGAAAACCCAAGTTCGAAGTTCGAAGTGTATTAAGTCCTGTTGCTAAGGACCACTAACTACTTTGAGCATTGTACAGTAGAGTTTTAGCAGGGGGCCACTCCACCCACCAGGGAGTGGCCAACGAAGAGCCTGGTGGTGTGGTGCTGAGAACGTACCTGCTGGGCGCATTTAAGACGCAGCTGGAGGACACCGTTTCACTCATACCTGTTTTTTGAACTCTTGACCAAGCTGTAACTCCAATTTTCCTGTAAAGTGCTAGTGAGTATGTTAAACAAGTCTGTTCTTCAGGCCCTTTCGCCATGCCGTTCCTGCAAGTCAAGGGCTAGGTACTCACTTAAAGGGCTGATGCATCCGGAACTCCAGAACCGGTTCTCCTCTTGCGAGCCTATATCTAAGTGTGATCTGCAGTTCCGTCCCACCGCGGTGCACTGTGGGTGCGTTTAGCTCAGGCCCTCAAGGGAGATACTTCACAGGTTCTTCCGTGTTACTCCATCTTCTCAGATTGGTCGTTTCTGCTCGAGATTGCTGATACTAGGCTGTAGAGCTTACTGCAATCCACCTCAGAGTGACATGTCACGCGGTTAATTGCAACAAAGTTCCAATTTCCATCCAACTCACAAATTTATGCATGGGGTTTCTTTCTCTTCTTCCTAGGTCTTCTCTTCTACTTCTTTGTTCATTTTTTTAGGGTTGTTAGGTTGCAGGTTAAGCTTTTTAGTCAAGGGTGCGCCGGATTCGGCTTTCTGGCTACGTGCTATTCACCCCACTCCACACACACACACACCCTTTTTCTCCTTGCCTTTCGTTTGTTAGGTCCTTTTCTTGAGGCTTGTTAGGTTGCTGCTTAGGCTCGTACGAGGGAATAATAAGTATCATATGATTGTTTCTTCCTAATATTCAACCCATGCCCACTTAATTCTACTTTACTCAGCGAATTTCTTTTATATATTTTTATCATTACAGTATCTGATTTATTCAATTCGGATCCTCGTGCAGATACCAGTTTAATATTGACTCTTTCTAAATTGATGATTTCATGTAAATATCTAAACCAAGTATATGCGAACTTACTTGACAAGAAATTTATCTATTTAGTTCGGGTCTTTGCAAATCCAAGTATCAATTTAGTATTTAGTATGAATATATATATATATATATGTAGTCTATCCAATCAGTTTTAGAACGCATGCAATTCATGACATAAAGCAATATGCGTCCTCATTAAATTTGTTTAGTTTGTTAATTCGGGTATTCACAAATCCAAATAACATTGTTTAATTAAGTAAATAAAATAGATGTGTTACGTTATTTAATCTGTTGGATTTATCTAATTAAATCATTCGACCTTATTAACGATTATCTGTTCAGTTTTTTGTTTTAGTTAGTTCGGGTCTTCGCAAATCGAAGTATGAATTTGTTTAATTCATTTAAGCTGTCTATTTCTCTTCTTGAACCAGTTAAGTAATTTCAATAGTTTTAACAAGTGCTTAATTACTTAAAAGCATAAATGTTAAAAGCCACAATTATAATGGCGCATATACAATTAAATGAAACAATACATGCATTAGATATTAAACTGGTAGTTGGATTTGCGAGTGCCCGAAATATACAGTTTAAAGAAATAGTCATTTTAAAACATATAGTGGCGGATTTTAAGCTATTGAACTGTTGCAATTAACTTCATAGATAAAAGTTATATATATATACTAACTCTATATGTTGATCTGCGAGTACCCGAATTAGAAAAATACATGCATTCATTTGTTTTGCATAGTGTCTTTAATTAGTGATCTAAGTTCTTAAGCTAAATAAGTCAAATATACTAGATATTTAATTGGGGTCCTGGATTTGCGAAGACCCGAGTTGAATACTTAACTTCAATATTTCAAACAAGGATGCAATTACGTACAAATAAGCATCAAACTGATACCTGGTTTTGCCAAGTTCCGAATTTCATAGATTAAAGCAAAACTGAAGAGATTACATAATACAGGATTTGCGAGGACCTGAACTTAATAGATTAAGTTAATTAAAAATTACCTTGCTACCCGGGTTTTTGAAATACAGTAATTAAGTAAAGGAGCTTTGTTTAATACATACATAAATCATAAGTTGTTTTGTTTTCAACACGGGTACATATATAATTTCACCATGTTACAAAGGGTGTAGTTTTATATTTTAGTTCAAGGGTCAATAATCGCATTGTGCTGGTTTCAGGTTCAGATTTTTACAGCTGTGACCTCAACTTAACCAACATCGAGGCAGGCATGCGGTCACCAGGCCCAAAGAGAGCAGGTGGAATAACCCGTGGAAGAACAACCATCAAAAGAGGAGGTTAGGTGATGTTCATGTGGGCAACGGCCCACAAAAGTGAAACCCAGGAAGCGAAAGCCTTAAAAAAGCTTTGTAAAATTGACCTTTGAATCTGTTGTTGCGAAAGTTGCCGGCGTAGCCGTTTTTTCGAGCGCTGCATGCAGTGTGCAAGTCGAAGCAAGTGAGAAAGCATAGAGTTTACGAATAGTTGTCATACAACAGACGGTGTTGTTGCGTTCTTGGCGGGATGGCGAGCTTGCTTGGGCAGAAGTTCGAGTTGACGTCAGCAAATGGGACCGTCACCATCATGACAGTCCTAGCTGCGAGGCAAGATCATGCATAGTCGCTGGCAACTGACGCTCAACTTGATCTTGAGTGGCAGCTGGATGGTCCGTCCGTCTTTAAGTTTCTTCATCTTGTGGTGGTGGTGTGAATGTCGGAAGATTTCGGTGCATTATAGAAGTAAGTTTTGTTCATTTGATCGCTTTCCCAAAGAGGGCGCCGATCCAGGCCGGGCTCTATACCCGGCGAGTTCTTCGGGGGTGGCGCCCTACAAGCGCCAGCGTGTCGACCCGGATACAAGATTCAAACCCGACACGAGAAGCGCCAAAACGGCGAGGCACTGCGAGCCTAAGCGGAACCAACGAAAAGTTGCGGCCAACTCGAATTTCTTTCTGCTAACAGAAAGCGGTTTTGGTCAGTCTGACTTGGTTCAACTCAGCCACTGCGCGGTCCTGCCACACGCTCATTGAGTCATGAGGCTGCCGCAGTTAGTATGAATGTCAGACTGTCCTTGACTATTCCTTCCCATTGTATTGGTGAGGTACTCTGCAAAATGATTGTATGGATCCCTTAGATGGTGGGTGATCGTTGGCGAGCAAACACACATTTGACCTCTTCGCAAGAAGGCATGACACCTGACTCTGAATTGAGTCTTTTGCCATCATCGCTTTGTAAAGTCAAGTCTGACGCCATTGAAAGTCGGTCCTCTATTTGAGATCTAGGGTCAGGGCATATCAGGTCCATGCCACATGGTTCATCAAGTTACTCAATAAACAACAACGGCAGACTTAAGATGTGAAAACAATTAAACCTGATTATCTCGTTGGTCGTGCACCGTATGGCGCAATGCTAGAAGGTCACGCTCGTCACGATGTCACTGGTGAGCTTGCTCGCCATCATGACATTTTGGTCACTCTTAGTCTTTGTAGAGTCTCAGAATTAAGTAGTTTGCCATAGTGTTTGCTTTGCTTTAAACAAACGACCGCCTTGTCAAAGCTTCGAAGTGGACTGACAGCCGAGCGACAGTGATTCATAAATCCTGGTGTAGAATCATAATAACCATAAAGCTTCGAGCTTTGCACATCCCAGGCTCGTGCTGAATGGGCCTCACGCTGAGATGTGAAATGACTGATGATTTAAGTCTCCCATCGGTGTACCGCAGACAGTCCGCCAATGACAGGGGCGGTGTCAGTCCACCTCACAATGGCCACTTGTAACTGACAGCAACCGGACAGTTGTTCTTTGTCAAACAAGAAAGATCCTTTCAACACCTTTGCAAATTCTTTGAAGTTCTTTGAAGAGAGTTCGATCGCATTATAGCAAATATTCCCGTCACCCCTCCCTTCGCTTTCGTTCCCTCCTGCTTTCGTTTCTATCAGGTTTCTTTCGTCAAGTGCGAAATGCAACCGCCAGATAGTGTGCGCCGGTTACGGCTCATTGTGTGCTAAGTCCTGTTTCTAAGGACCACTAGCTACTTTGAACATTGTACAGTTTCAGGCAGGCGGCCACTCCACCCACCACCCTGGTGGTGTGGTGCTGAGAACGTACCTGCTCTAGTCGCTCCTGGGCAAATTTAAAAGGCAAATTTAAAACGCAGCTGGAGGACACCGTTTTTTCGAACCGTTGTGACCAAGCTGTATACTCCAAATTTCTCGTAAAGTGCCAGTGAGTATGTTACACAGTTCTGTTCTTCGGACCCTTTTGCTCTTCCGTTCGTGCAAGTGAAGGGCTAGGTATTCACTTAAAGGGTTTGTGCATCCGGAGCTTCAAAACCGATTCTGCTTTTGCGAGCTTATATCTAAGTGTGCGCGTGTGTTTTTGAATATGATGTCTCTAGTGTCTTTGATGGTAGCATGGGCTCTTCAATTTCCAGGTCTCCTACTGGTCCATCACTGCCTGGAACAGCGGCGTGCGGATGTTTGTGGCTTTCGCGCTGCCCTTTTGGGCGGTCGGCGTGATGCCTCCTGGTGAGACAGAGCCTGTAGCAGGAGGCCAGGACCAGCAGGACCCGTTCATTTGACCTGCAAACTACCCATTGTGAGGAACCTGCAATTGTGTTGGGTGTGATTCTCCTAAAATTGTGGGCCGGAAGGTTGGACTGATCGCTATCATTGCAACTACAAAATTGTAGAGGAGAAACATTTTCGAGCAACCAAGTCTATATTTTGATTGAAATGAAAATGTGTATGTCTCGAAGGTAGCTGAACACGCAAAGACCTGAATGTAGAAAAGGACATATTGATAGATGAAAAATATGAAAACCGTTTAGAGTCACACATACACCTACACCCCAAAAGTACCGAACGTTTTGAAATCTGGAATTTTCACCCCTCACATATGCTGCAGTGTATTATACAATTTGATGGGTCTAAGTTCCGTCCCCGTCCCCTAAGCCAGGAAAGTCATCAAGGGTGTTGGATGTTCTGGTCATCCAAGAGAGCGTTGGACCTCAATGGGCTGACCTAGCACGTATGTTTTTGATCTTAGGCAAAGCACTAAGTATGTGACATGTGCGTTTTCAAAAATTGTGGACACGATTCTGCGCCCCCCCAAAACCTTTTTGTGTATGAAGTTTTCTAGATCTCAGCCCCATTCTTCACCAAGGATTTGCAGTTCTGGCAACTCCTCCCACCCTCACCTTTTCAAAATAGACTGCCCCATCCAGCCAACACCATGCTTTCTCGGCGAGGTCCCGCGCGTAATTCCGACAACACGACGTGTTTGCTGTTTCTGAGGCTTTTTCTCAGCACCTTGCTCACACCCAGCCTCTCACAGACGTTGATCGCAGGGCCTTTGGAGTACCAGGCGGAGCTGGACTGATCCTGCGTTTGGTGGAACCGGTTGGCCCAAAAAAACAAGACAGAACGTTTGGCAGTGCTTTGGGCTTTACACCATCCCAAACTCTGATAGAAACAGCAACCAACAACACCAACCACTCCCAAACACTCCATGTATGCCATATCTGTCTACAAGTCTGCCTACATTATCTATACATTGACCCCCCAAACCACCCCAATGTAGGTCAATATACCATATATATATATATATACCAGTCCCATGGTGTGTTTACACATACTATCACCAACCATGTTTCTATTTGGAATCCTCCGCTTCTTCGAGTGCTTCTTTCTGGTACCTCAGTCGCAGGTGCAGTCGCAGGTCTTGCAGCTGGGCATCAGTCGCTTCGCGGCCAAGGTGCGGTCGATCTCGACCGGTGGCGGCCAAGGTGGCGGGAGCGTTTGGACAAGGCCTGGGGGGATCCACGAGGCCTTGGAGATGTAACAGTGTAACATAGGTGTAACATGTATCTTTTTTGTTTGGCTGATTGGGGCGAAAAGGAGCAATGTCCTACTGTGTTGTTTGTTTGTTTTTTTTTCTAATCAATGTATGTGTCCATGTTCATACAATGCATGTGAATATTTTGGAGGTGTGGTTCATAGTCTCCATGTTTGGGAAACAAAAACGGTATCAGTGAAACACAAAATAACTGACACGTTTAAGTGCATTTATTACTACAAGATGTTAACAAATAATAAGTCGAAGTGTTGCTCCACCAACCTTGGTTTTAACAAAAATTCGCCGACTCGCGGCGGATTCTCCAGGTGACGGACCTGGAAGAGGTCCCAGGGCTCTACTGTATGTCCGAGCTGGATTGCAGGCCGTCCGCTGGGGTCGCCGGGGCCGCCAGGGCCGCCAGCAAGTAGAGGCGCTCGAAACAAGTGCATTTTGGATGGTATGCCAATGTATGCCACAAAATTATCGAATTTCACATGACCTGGAATTTCCCAGTTCCTGGAATTCCACTCTACTTTTATGAAGTTTGATATTTATCAATATGATTTTGCGGTGGAACCTGCATGTGGTGATCTCCCTGAGGACTTTTTTGTTTCAATCAGCAGTTTGTTCCATCGAATGGGTTCCCCGAAGGAGGAGGGGCGACAATCGATTGCTGAAAACTGATCAGGGTTACTTTCCCTAAAGTAATCATGAAAGTGGATGGCATGATGGCACCTACCTGTTTGTAAAATATTGGGAACATGGTCATCCAAAGGGGTCAGCTCATCCGCTTCCATGTTAGGCCCGTGTTTGCTTCAGGGCCGTGTATATTTTTCCGGCATCCGCCCTGCGATGGGCACCTGTGGTTTGGAACGACCTGTGGGCACCTGTGGATGTCGAACAAGACTGACACATGACCACCAGAGTGGGCACGTACTTTCGTGTGAAGCTCTCTGGAAGGTTCCAAGCTAGTGACCAGTCCTTCCTGTTTGCAAAGGACGGGTGACATGAATGCGGTTTCCAAATTCAGTTGATTGCACCAAAACACACGATATAGCAAGGGTCTACCGATATAGGACGACTCAAGACACACGCACTCGTAGCTGTTTCTATGGTGACTGTGTTGACCCACACCATGTGTGTGGCGTTGAAGCACGCAGTTAGTGTCGGCTTCCTTGTTCAATTAGGTTGGTGAACTGTCGGTAGGACCAAAGAGGCCAAAGACAGAACTCAATCGATCTGGGTGAACGGTCGGTAAGACCATGTGGAAGTCACCAAGCTACCCAGCGGAAAGATAGACTCCGGACTCGCCCGTGGGTTCGACATAAGCCACACTTATGTCGCCCATGTGATCTTATGTATAAATGTACATATATATATATATATTTATATGGTACCCCCAAGACCTACCTTTTTGCACTTTTCAGTTGTATTCATATATATATATATATACGGGGGTCTATATTAGCATTATTGTTATATATATATATGTGTATATACAATATACAGCATACAGGGATGTTTATTCATATACAATATATATATACATCGCTACTAATTATTTCAGTCTCATATTTTCTCTCCGATGCCGTCCATTTCTGGTGCCTCAGGAACGATGTGTAAGAGCCTAGACACATCAGTTAACATGAAGTTCTGCCACGGGAATGTGTCCACTGTTTTCTATATATGCCGTACATATATTCTCCATTTTGCTGGGTGAGCACTCACCCGTTGGAAGATCCCAACAAGGATGGATGCCTAGACCCTGCCCATTGCATTCCAGGCTGATCCTGCAGGATGGCGTGCAAGAAGTGGCATGGCGGCCATTCAGCAGCTTTCTGTGCTGGTTTTTCACCATGTTCCTCCATCCAGCCTCTCCCCCTGTACTTCGAAGTGATGGGCTCCATGGACTGCGCTCGATTCCTGGGGCCCGGCCTGGACGTCGACCTCGGTCGCGGCCGGTAGCGGCCTCTGCCTAGGTGGTCTTTGGGTCGGATCTGAAGCCGGTGGAAGTGCGATGGATCCAGAAGCAGTTGTGTTCCCACTGGGGACTCGACGTCTCCTCATGCCTGGCGCGTTCGGCGTTCCACTCTGAGGAAGGAGGATAAAGATTGGCGAGGAGGCCCGGTGTCGCCCCTCACAGTCCAAGGGGTATTGAAATTTGCTATATATATATATAGATGCAAACATAAGACAGTCCCTTGAAAGATCTTGAAAAACACCTGCTGGGGGGGGAGTGGAAGCTATTCTCGTGCTCAAAAGCAGCCATGCAGGGACAGGATTTAGCCATTGGTGTTCGGCCAAGTAGTACCTCTTACTTCTCGGAGTGAGCGACCCCGACCGCGTGTGTGGCCAAGAAAAGGTGTGCAGGTACTGGATGTCCATCGACAAAAACGTCAGTGCTAAAACATGATTCCATCGATTGGACGGGGAAGACCAAACTTCCTTCAACAGTATCAGAGTGTGCCAAAGCATCTCCTGCGCAGGCATGTGTACAGGACACCAATCAATTTCGAGCTATATACTGTAATTACACAGACAGGTGTCCTTCTCTAAGAGGAAACAAGGTTCTCAGACTTAGATCTTGGATCTTATGGCTATTTATCTACAGTAATTGGGAAGGATCTCCCACATGATGTCAGACTGTCAGATCTTCCAAGAAGTGGGACAAGAAAGATCAGAAAGACACCACTTTCCAAACTGCTCATGACATAGAAATCAACACCTGCCACCCACTGGTACTCATCACTGCTGCCACGCTTTCCGCTTTCGTCGAGGTCCTTCTCTGCAGACTTTTCCTCAGCACCGGAGTGGGGCTCGCAACGCTTGGCGGCTGCCCGGCCCATTGTTGGTTGCCTGTTGTGGTGTGACGTTCATATGACATGGCGTTGACATACCTTAGCTAATCCATGATAATATACCGATATCCATTGTATATCGTCATAACTCATCATATGAATCTCATATATTGTACATGTGTGGTAGAAATCGCTAATGATTCTTGTGGCAAACTTCACAGACCATCAAACATACCTCGTTGCTGGGGCGATCTTTCGCTTATTGGAGTGGATCTTCTTCCAGTTGTTCCCACCTTTCATTCGGCTGAGTCGGGTCCGGGCGCCGACAAACGCACGATGCTTCAACCAATCAAGGTCTTGGAGCATCTGGAACCCTCCATGAAGGCGTCGTTTGCGAAGCGAAGTTCGCCCCTGTTCGCGTTGGAGAAGAGGGGAAGCACTGGAGGTCACCTGCCGGGTCAGGGGGTAGCTGCAAGGAGTGCTTTTCAGGGGTCATGTGAAACGGGGGCGATCTGGAAAGCCAATCCAGTCAGGTGTTTGGAACGCAGCTGGGATTGAAGAAGGCCGTCTTGTAGGCTCTTTTTGGCCATCGGTTCGACCAAAAAAGAAAAGGTTTACCTGGTTCAATGGTTTGTCGGTAAACACCATTAAATCAGTGGTGGTTGAAGAGTGGAGTGAAACAGATGGACATCGAAAAATGTTATGTTCGTTTGCTTCAACCTGGTTTTGCAGGGACCACCATCAGGCTCAGGCTAAACCGGCTAGATCGCACACCGCAAGATCCGCAAGATCGCGGGTTGACCAGCGATGAAACATATCAACCTTACCCAGACACTCCATGTATGCCATATATGCCTACTTTGGTGGTTTGCGGGGTCAATGTAGGTATATATGGCATACATGGAGTGTCTGGGAACCTTCTATTGGAGATGTAGACGTTGTAAATATCGAGACAGCCCCCTCACACTCAGATTCCCAACCATTGCTTGTCGAGTAGACCGCCATCACTAGGTTCGCTTGGAGATCTTGGATGTGGCTGTTCCCCTGTCCAAGGCCATGTCATGCTGCCGGCAAAAAGAGGGGAGGGGAAGCAAGCAGGAAGGTTTCGGGAGGGAATCCGAGGTTTCAGGGTGTGTAGCAGCAGAAAAAACATGTTTTGATAATTCATTGATTGTCCCATTTTGTCCCTATTCTTGGATGGGTCACCAAAAAGTATAGAACAAACAGTGGATAAGCACGGGCAATGATGCACAGGAAGCACCGTCCAAGTAAGACGTTCATGGCATGTCGTGCTATTATAGGTTGGATTCAGCAAACAAATCCATCACCCCACAAGTCCAAACATTCTCTGGACAGAGTCATTTGGGTGTGGCCTGTCCCTGCAAAGAAAGGGGTCTGGCAGTCTGGCATGGCTCATCTCCTGCAGTTCTATCCACCCAACCGCTGCTTCAAACGCAATGGCTGAAGTTCCACGGGCTATCCGCTGTGAAGTCAGGGCTATCCGCTGTCCCTGAACGTTCAAGCCAAGTCGGTGGACGCCATGGAGGCCGTTGGGGAGGAGAGCAGGTGTAATTCAACTTTGCTGAGATCCAGTTCCATACCAGATCATTGCAAGGGGTGGTGAATGGACGCCACTGGACCTTCCTTCACCCCTCGGGGGGCCCTGCTATTTGTTTAAAGTTGTAATTACTGCACCGTGAAATGTAATCATAGAAGCGGAACATAGTGAGTCAGAGTGTAAATGTTGTGAGTGCACCGCCAAGCCCCTTGGGCAGATCCCTGGTCTCTGGACACTTTGAAGTTGAGGTGCTGGACTCCAGCGGTTCTCAAGCGGTTCTGTGATTTTCTTGATGTTTATCGACGTATACACTGACTAATCATATATATTATATATTATATATATATATATTATATACGTCCTTTCGGACCCATTGGAACTTTGAAATCAATCTTCCGAATGCCAAGTGGATTATTTCAAGTCTCAGATTGTTGGTGTTTGTGAACATTTGCAAGCTGGGAAACACTCATTGTCCATGTGTTTGGCGCAGAAGCCTGCTGCAGTGGGCCAAACCCCTGACACTCCGGACTGGCAATGACTGGCCTTTTGACCTACATCGGGGTCGTTTCAGAGGTGGAAGTGGGTCAACATACCGGTCGTCCAAGCTGTCCCACCAGGTATTTGAGAACCAAGATCATCCCTTAACTCCCCTGTCGGTTCATGCCCTGATGCTCCCTCCAGGTTGCATGCAAGGAAGCCACCGCTGTGCGATCCTCCATGGCCGGAACCGCCTGGGGCGGCATGCGGCGTCTTCCTTTTTTTGGGGGGGTGTTCCAAGTTGATCAAAGCTGGGCAAAGGAGATGCTGATGGTGTTTACAGCGGTTTATATATTGATAATTGATATTTGATCTAAAAGTTAGTATATACGGTACATTTAATTATACAACCAATTATGTGATATATGGATGTGATAGGTTTGTGATATGCTAGGAAAATCTAGAGATTTCTTTTTGCTTGATTCCTTGTGGAAGACCCATTGAGTCAGGTTGCCGGGTCATCGCTCCTTTGTTCGTCCGGGGCCGGGCCATAGGGTGGAGTAGATCGGGTTATTCAGCCACAACCAGAAGGTGTTTGCTTTAAGATGTTTTTCCACAACCAAACCCAGAGCCTGTGAAAAACATCTCTTGCTTGGCTGAGGTTAGACATTAAGCATGGAGAAGCAAGCAGCTTTTGTCTCCCTGTTCTAATACCCAGACAAACTGACTCTCCAGCTATATAACGGAGATCGGAGCTCGGACGCCAGGACAGCTCAGTCCATGCGCCGCCAAGGTGAAGCGCATCGAGTGGCGGGTGGGGCGCATCTCGGAGCATGTGAACGCTGTGTCCGGGCCCCGGCGGAGAGAGGCGGAGAACGAGAGGCCTGAACACCATGTTGTAGCTGTTTCTTTAAGGTAATTACTATATAGAACATCAAAACACTGAGTGCATTGAACAGAAACACGTGCTTCTGCTTTGCCTCGTGCAAAGTCACATCATGATAACTTGGTTACAAGTCAAACCCACTGTAGACCAGGGGTCATGTGCCAAATGAGTAGAAAAAGTCTAGTCTAGTAGGGACTGGGGGGTTGACCCACCTCTCTTTCCCAAAGTAGACCAAACAGGGGCATGGCTTGACCAGGGGCGCACGACAATGACCTCCAAAGGTGGGAAGATCAGTGAGAACCTCTTGGCGAAGGGATTCTGAGACTCTTGATGAAAGAGATGTTGCACCACGTTTGGTGCACTCCCCTAATAAAGCTCTCAAAAACATGTAATTATTACTTTCTAAATACCATGTCATAGCTTAGCCCTTATCTATGCCAGATGGTACGAGATTTTGTCCATGGACAGAGCTCTAAAAGAATATTGAATGATATGATATGATCATTTGTCCAGTTGCACCCCAAACGCATGGATTGTGACAGGCGCGCAGCGGCCAATTCCATGGGAGAAGAGGAGGCGATGTTTCCTTCGTGGGACCCGCGTGGGAGAAGGTGGAGATGTGTTTTGCGAACCAAGTGTTCTGCCACAACCGGTGACATTCGGACGTTCCACTATACGTTCGGACCCCGCGAACAATCCCTAAACTTCGTCATTTCTGGACACGGACCTTGGAAAGGAGTTCGGGTTCACATCTGTTGGAGGATGCTGGAGGTTCCTGCCTCATCAGGGTCAGACATGGGATACCTTGTAGGATAAGACTTCGACCCCTGAATTCCTTTGTTCCAGCCAAAGTCATTCGGCCTGGTCGAAATCAGTGGATGTGAGGTCGAAGCGTTCACATGCTTTTGCGGGGCTCACGAAGACGAGGGCTCATGAGTCATGAGATCAGATGCAAAATTCATGCACATGTTGGTCGGGGCTTGGATGCCCACAGGTTGCGGTTCGAGCAAGAATCTAGCAACAATGTTTGCTGTTAGTTCCAGCTTCACCGTGCAAACAGACCGGAAGGGACATTTTATGCATTTTGGGCAAGACCGTGATTTTAGGGCGTTTGATAGCCCAAAGGCATGATTGCTACACTGCAGACTCACCCGGTTTTCCTGAACAGCACTGGTCTTGTAGAGGAAATCCAGAAAACAAGTTTCTAGCAGCCACTTCCAACTTTGAGAGATTAACTTGGACTTTAGGGGCTTGTACCGGCATTGCGCTCCCTCTGTGGATGCCGCTGTTGGCTGGGTGTTTGAACAACTCGTCACATGCAGTCACAGAGTGACAGTGATTGGAACCACTGAGCGAAGCCAACGACTTGACTTGCT